ATGGAATTAAAATGACGTTTCAATGAAAATGCTTGTATCCTGTGTAATATTTGGCCTACTAACCTTTTATTTATCTACACTAGCATGTGGTTCAAACATCATATCATCAGTACCAATAAAACAACGAGTTTACCTGCAACCCTAACACTGGTGACGCTACACAATCACAGTACTTCATTCCATGCCTAATATGTTTAAAGAGACTGTCTTACCTTTGCAGGCGGATTTGGTAACCACATGAATTTCCATTTCCTACACTTTCTGCCCTCTCCGCTGATACACGCTCTGCTACCTGAGAGAAAAATACATTCAAGAAAATATAATAATCTAATTTACATGATTGACGCCAGAAATGATGTATGGAGACAGTGTGCATAAACATCATATCACACATCTATCCTCAGTATGCACATTGCAACACAATCCAACACAGTCAGATATGAAAGACACATAAGAGAGCATACCGAGATGGCACTGATTCGCCGAGGCTGCGTGCAGACCACCCGACACATCGAGCCCACTCCTCTGTTGATGTAGTCATCCAGGATGAACTGGGTGACCTGGGTGGTCTTTCCACAGCCCGTCTCCCCGCTCACCACCAGGACCCGGCTAGAGTTGATCAGTTGCACAAGCTCCTGAGGACGGGAAGATGAGGAGAAGGAGAAGGGTGATGATAAATCATGATCACATTTCAAACTGAAGGAATCGATTTTTTTAGCAGAAATGTGAATTATGATGGAGATGAGATTATTTGCTGAATTATTAATTAATTTGAGTACAATGTAAAACGTACCTCTTTTCTTTTATAGGACGGTAGTTTTTCCCTGAATTTCTGGAGACAAAAAAAGTCATGTTAGTCAATCCTCAATATTTCCAAATATAATTCATGATTTGTTCATTTTATATAATGAATGTTATGATAATATTCCTGTGATAACTTACAAACTAAACATTTCAGATCCTTGTCCCATCTCCAATTACCTTTGTTTCACTCTTAAACTCCACTTTTTATTGCTTTAGTAATCCACTTTTTGGAGAGAAATCGTCATACAGGAACATAAAAAGATAATAACAGTCAACGTAACAAGTTGACGGAGATATGCAAACAATGCACTGCCTATTTTAGTAGATTAAAAGCCTTGCCTTTTACTGTTGTATATTTAAAACTTGAAAGTAATCCTAATGCTTACCAGCATTTCTTTGTACTTTGGATCAGATTTCTTGCTCTGCAGATCTCTCTGTAAGCGTTCATCCAGTGAACTGTCCCTCACTACTTCTTGACACAAGAACTCCAGTTCCTTGTCTTTCTTTTTCAGACTTTCTTTCTCCTCTTTCTCCTGCTGGTCGTCTTTATCCCACGCATCTGGAGCCTCATCTTTAACAACAGCTGGAGAGAAGTAACTAAACAAAAACATTAAAAGTGTAAATATCAACAATATAGTGGATCACAAGACTATATTGGTTGCTCTCCGATTGTTGAAGAAAGCATAATCAAATAGGAAACTACATTTTTGGAACAGTGCATCTGATTTGCTTGCAAAAGTTACCGTTGTGATTTATGAGTAACTTCTTCCTCCTCCTCTTCAGACTTGAACTCAATCTTCTTTGTATCCTCTTCAGACGCTTCGCCATCAAAGTAACTGCATGTACAAATTAGAGACAAACTTGTTTCAGCAGTCAAATAAATCAGGAAACTTTGTTATTTTCTAATAATCCCATTTTCTTTAGGGTAAGATCAACATTATAATGTGCAAGTTTGAAAATAAATGCTTTGTAGGCTGTTCTCACCAATGACCACTACTATTGGCAGCTGATGTAGAGGCTCCTGCATCCCTGCAATCTCTCGCTGGACCAGGCTGATCATTTTGGACAGAGTTAAGCAGCTTCGTAATGTGCTGCTCTCTGGCTGCATCCATCTGGACCACCGGCCGCTACACACAGACATAAAGGGGAATTTTGAGTCGTTATCTTGTAATTGGCCTAAGCAAATGTGACACCAGGGTCTTTGTTTGAAACAATAATAAGGGTTCAAAATGTCAATGTATCCTTTCATGTAATCTCATTGAAAAATCTTACAGTATCCCTGTGAAAATGTGAAACCAATGTAATAGTGATGCGTATTGTCCACTTATTTTTGCATTTCAGTGACGGCCTAAGAATGATTTGCTACTTTAGCAATAACTACGCGAGGAGTTCCCACACATAGACTATACTTGGGCGGGCCGCCCAGGTATATTAACGGCCGCCCAAGTATATTTCGCGACCCATTCAGTTTTTTTTTCAATAATTTCTTATTTTTTTCGTCCGCGATCACGACGCCATCTGCGATTGATTTACTTGTGGACAATGATCCCTCGCTCTACACCTCCTGTACCCAGTCCCGGACTGGCCATTGGGAGGACCGGGGATTTCCCTATGGCCAGGCCTGTTATGTGGCCTGCCTCACACAGGGTGACTGGCTGTCCACAGGATGTGGCCTGCCGACATGGCCACTGTCATACAGATCATAAACCAAAGCCCTTGATTGGTCTCTGTGTGTCATTCAAGCTCGGGATAACCTCAGCTCAGGTGAGGTAAAGGACTCTCTGAGTGTTTAGATAGTTAACTTAGTCTAAGTTCTCAGTGGGTCTCAAACTGTTTGGTCACCATTTATGTAAACACATATTTCCATTTGAGGGGGTAGTGATTAGTCAAATATGCATGAATAAAAAATAAAAAAGTTAAGTAGGTGAAAAAAGGTAAGATAAACGTTTACAACTTGTTGAGAGCTAAAACTAGTCTTTGCTGCTGCCTCAAAGAGGAGCAGAGGGAGAGGAGGGAGACAGGTGAGGCTGGTTCAGGAGCCCAGACACACTCTCACAACTATAAATGAACCAAAAACAAATAAATAAACAAGTTTCAGTGTTTTTTTCATATTGGAAATGGTATGTTATTGGTTATGGCCATGATTTTATGATTATTGAAATGTATACAGTTCTGTTTCATATAGGTGTTCCTATAGATCTAGTCTCTTTATTTTCCCCTCAAAGTGCACCAGATTGATGCATTTAACTTCAACATTTAAAAAACAATCTTACCGGGGGAGCATGCCCCTGGACCCCCCTAGAGGATTTGAGGTCCACCCTCACTTAAAACTACATGGATAGGTTCCTAAATACATTTACCATTTTAAAAAAAAAATAGTAACCCATGTCCATATGTTTATTTGTGGGTAGTATATTTAAATGATAGGGCCATCACTATGGGCCCTGCCTGCACCAGTTCGCTCTGCCATCGCGTGAAGGGTTTGCTAACAGGCGACCAACTGAAAGGTTAATGTTAGTTGTTGCACGTCACAAAGACATTACTACATTTGTTCACCCTCAACCCTTTGGATGCTTAATCAAAACCCTGCAAATACATCTACAAATAGCAGTATTCATGCAGTATTGGATCAATGGGTAATTTTGGCTTTGTTAAGATCCTAATAAAGCAAAGTTTGTTCAGGCTATTGTATATCACAATATTTATCAAGATACAAGATGTGTAAGGATATGGATGGTATTTCACCCATCTGCATGATTGTGTCCACCGATCAGTGTCACTTTAGTTACTTTGCAGATTTGGATTAATGATGTGAAATATAATCAACTCTAAAATGAGACTTTATTGAACGCTGGAGACATTTCACAAGCAGCCCTGTAGTCTACAAAGTCTTACCAGCTTTGATAAACACATTATATATATTATTCTGAAATTGGCTAATTTGCATAATGAGGACTTTTACTGTTGGTACTTTAAGTCTATTTTGAAGCTAACACTTTTGTACTTTTACTTAAGTAACCCTTTGAATGCATGACTTGTAACAGGGTATTCCTACACTCTGGTACTTCTACTTGTACTTAAGTTATACTCCTGTCCTCCCACCTCTTTATGTGCGGACTGCCCAGACCTCTGTTTCTAATAAACTGACAACACAATGTGCACGATCAGTCATCCAAACACATACCGATCTCCGGTCAGCCTGCTTCCTCCTCACGGCTCCGTATCTTGCGTACCACATACCGATATCCCGTCCCTTCAGGTGTGGGGGAGGCCGGTCCCGTTGTCCCCCTCCTCCTGGGTCCTGGTCGAAGTCCGAGCTTTGTCCCCCTGAGCCCCGTCCGCCTCCCCTGTCCCATCTCTCTCTGCTTCCATCTCTGCTTCCATCTCTGTACCCTCGACCTCCTCCTCGACCTCCTCTTCCACCTCTTCTCCCACCTCCGCCACCATATGCATGACTCATACTGCAGAAACCAGCGGTGGTATATTTAAATACTAAAACGCTGTAAAAATGTCTTGTAAGTAACGTTACTATGTCTTTTAGGGTTAGCTGCTAATGCTAGTGCTGCTAAAATAGATGGACGTATGGGCCAGAGACTAAAGGTAAACATACGAGGCAACACTTAACGTGTCGTTGCTATTGACAGTTAATTTCAGGATAGCTACAGTACGTGTAGAAGGTAAATAAAGCAAAACTCAAATGATGCTGTCAACAAGCATCACTTCGCATGTTTTTCATTCTCGTTTCTATCCGGCATGTCGCACAGAATCGGCGTCAGAATATTCAGCTGCCTGCTATTGTCGTTCTGCTCTGTGATTGGTTGTTGGCCACCCCCTTCCACACTCGCTGTTCTAAATGTATTTACCTATGGTATTTACTCACTGATGGATAATACATGAGGCTTATCAATTTATATTTGGAATAATAGACAATAATACGCTACAATCTTCTGAAATGGAAAATAAATGAAATAATCTCCATTTTATAAGAGTTGATACTATTCCTGTTTTATACTGAAAAGCAGTATCGATTACCATCAAACAAATATATGGATCATTAGGTTTATTTAATCTCTTTGGGAAACCTTTTTTGGTTTGCTCTTAAGTTTTAAAATAAATAATGATGTAGCGAGTAGTGCTCCGGAAAGCAGCTCAAGGCCTGACTCCTCCCAAACCTCTACCCTCATTAGAGCAGAGTATAAAAGGCATCTGGTGGCCTTTGGTTTTTACCTTTGGCTCTGCTGTCATGGTCGCTGGTAAAGGTAGGCTTCATAACCGATTATATGGATACATTGGTCTCATTTTTGCTAGTATTTTATGATCACTTACTGCTTCCTTGCCGATTGTCCTGAAGCTCAATACCTATGTTCAAAAACCTCTTCCTGTGGTCAATAGGGCAGAACCTTAAATGTTTGTATTCCACATGGTCAGCCATTTTTAACCTTCATAGTTTACCTGCTGCTGTTTTTTGCTAACTATGTTTTGTGTTGTTTATGATGTTACATTTGTTTTGCTTCGTGCCATTTGCTTTTTGGTTAGTTGAGCTTGTTTTGCATTTGTCTTTATAACAGTTTTAGCTCCTGCTTATCTTATAATATGGTTGTTGTTCCTTTTAGTTGTTTAGCTTCCGGTCTTGCTTTACATTGTGCCCCTGTTTATTTAACGTTTAACCAACAACCTCTTTGTTTAACCTTGTTTCAGTTGTTTCTTTTAATTTCCCGATCTTATTTAACCCTAGACCTTCTGCATGTTTTCTGGTGCATTTATTATTATTCCACTGCATTGTATTGCCTGAGTATACTGTTTATACATAATATAATCTAAGAAAATAAACCATTGTTTATTCAATCACTAATTTGGAGACCCTGAATAAGCAAGGGTGTGAAAATAAATGAATAATGATGCTCTAAAAACCCAACTGCTAACTGCCTTAATCAGCTCATGCTGCTCCCAGCCTAACGGACACATAAGGGAAGAAGACTGTTATCTGGGCCTTAAGGGTTACAGTGAATTGAAAAAGATCTACCATGACTGCTCACCTACAGGGTCCTGGCTCTGCTATTTTGTGTTGAATATCATCTATCAGCAGATTCAAAGCATTTAGTCTGTCCAAGCATCACAGGGATGAACTATGCCAATATTTTTCAGTGGGATAAGATATAGCACCATCTTTTTCTCTCGTGGTGGTTTGGCTCATAAAGGGGTTGTGTTGTGATATTTTCCTCAAGCTTTGGTCAAGTGTATTCTTTGAATGCAGATTTGGGTTCTGCCCGCTCTGTATTAATGTCATGTGGATTTTCCTGTCATATTGACAGGTTATCATCATGTAGGCGTTGATAAAAGCTAATTCTAATGTTGTGTTATGTGTGTATGAAGGTACGTAATAAAGTTTTGCATTGCCTATCCTGCTATTTGTGTTCTTTTAATCACACAGCGATAAGAAACAATAAAAATGTGCCTACATAACTGTCAGTTGCAGCCCTAGCATTAGTATTGGTTATAGTAACAGCTACAACATTAAAATACTTCTAGGCAGATTGAGGAGGCTAATGGGAGAATGAAATTCCATCTGAATAATAACTGTATTTGTATAGCACCTTTCATAGAGGGGATTGCAGTTCAAAGTGCTTTACATCAGTAAAAAATAAAACATAATCAGTGTAAAACAAGCGGCAAGAGCAAAGCATAAAGTGGGATAAAATAATGCATGTGTATATATATCTGCATTATTTTATCCCACATTATGCTTTGCTATTGCTGCTTTTACACTGATGTTTTATTTTTATATATATTTTATATAGTAATCCCAACAGGCCACCTTGTTTATGGATTGATTCAGTTTTAGTAGCATTTTTAAAAGACATGAATGATGAAATGAGCACAAAGTGCAGACATACTATAAAATCACAGTTAATAGACCTGCATCTGATGATCGCAGTGTTCTGGCGGGTGTGTAGAGTCAGTAATGTATGTAATGTAATAATGGCCACTTCTTGCTAAATTTACATTTCCATGTGATGCTTTTATCCGAGGCGGCTCACAATAGGTCAATGAACAGCGGTAGACTGTATCTCATTTACTTAGGCACTGTACTTAAGGTCAACCTTGAGGTACTTGAGACTAATCCTGCAACTGTATAGTTCTGCTCCACAACAGTTCGAGAATGAAGAAACCATCACGTATGAAAGGCTACATGTGAAGAGAGGGGCAGAAAACCGTCCATTACATTTACATTTCAATCTTGAACAATGAACAGCATCTCATTTACTTAGACACTGTACTTAAGGACAATGTTGAGGTACTTGAGACTAATCCTGCAATTGTATACTACTGCTCCACTCCCATTCAGTGTACTTTATACTGCGCTACTTTATTTGATAACTTCAGTTAACTTTGAAGATTCAGAACACTACAAAATATAATCAAGACATATTTTATCATGTATTATTATAGGTTAAGATAAAATGTTATTGATCCCATGGTGAATTTCATAAGCTACCCAGCAGTATATAATGCAATTCAAATCAGCTCCTCCACTTCAGCTCTCTGAAGCAGAAAGAAATCATTCTAATGTTGTGTTATCTAATGGCTGTAGTATGAAGATACGAAATAAAGTTTTGCATTGCCTATCCTGCAGAAACACCCATCTGAATAATGGCCACTTCTTGCTAAATTGAATGTATGAAGGTACGAAATAAAGTTTAGCATTTTGCAGTATCGGTAAAAAGTGGTTTATTATCAAAATAAACAATACAAAAAGTAAACAACAAAAATGAAATACAAAAAAATAATGTTATTGCCACAACTGTCTGTAAAAAGAATTAGCCACATCTTTAAAAATGAGTGAACTTTATGAACAAAAAAACGACTCGCATGTGAAGACAAGTGAAATGTCTAGAGACAAGTGAAATGTCTAGAGGTTTCATTTTCCTCTAAGCAATCGAAGAAGGTATTTTGCACCAGATTCAGGAAGCGTCGCATCTGATGAGGTGGCAACAGCCGCAGTCTGTGCTCAAACACTTTGGAATGGGCCGAGATTTCGTCATCAAGTCCACTCGGGGCCAACTGTGCCAGTCTTATTTTTACCTCCTCCAGCAATGTTTTTGACGCCTCAACGGCAGACTCCTCCTGCGCTTCGCCGGAGGCCTTCGAGTGCTGAGTGTGCTTGGCCTCTCTCTGAATGGTGCCGGTGTGGTGCAGATGGTGGATTCTGCCAGGGGAGTGCAGGGCTCAGCATCAAAGTTGAAGGGCTCTTCAGTGGTGCTGGTCGAGGTTTCACTGCTGGTGCCACCGGGGGGTGATTCTGCAGCCACCCGTTCCTTAATGTTTTTTAAAATAAATTCACAGTTAGTTGGATTTAATACCATGGCTTCTTAAAACTGTTTACTAAGCATTCATAACAAAACAATACCCTGAAATGTGTGTGCCATTAGTTTGGGGTGTGGTCAAGTGTGAGAGGCACATTGTAGACACACTGTAATGGCTCTATTCAGATGCTGAAGACATACTTCTAGAAGATTCAGAACACTACAAAATATAATCAAGACATATTTTCATGTATTATTATAGGTTAAGATAAAAGCGTTATTGATCCCATGGTGAATATCATAAGCAACCCAGCAGTATATCATGTAATTCAAATTAGCTCCTCCTTTACCAGCTGCAACATTAAGGTGATGAGTACATCAATAATTATAATACAATAATATATATATATTCTGTTGTTATATTTACCACTGTAACCACCAAATGAATGAAAATAATGTTTTTGTAAATGAAAGAAGCAAGAAACACTTATTTGTACTCAACCCATACAATAGTTACCGTGATGGCGAGGTTCGAAGTACTCTCCTTCCAGGCAAGTTTCCTGTACCGGGTGTACTCGGTTCGCAGAGAATCCCACTTCTTCCTCAGCTCTTTCTCTAAAGCACACAAATAAACGATGTAAGCATTGTTCAAATCGGTATGCATTACATTACATTACATTACATTGCATTTAGCTGACGCTTTTGTCCAAAGCGACTTACAATAAGTACATTCGACCAGGAAGACACAACCTTGAAGAAAACAGAATCATATAAGTACATCAGGTTTCATAGAGCTAAACATTTCAAGTGCTACTCAACTGGCTTTAGGTAATCCAGTCCTTTATTAGTATAAAAGTGCTTCGTTAATCGTTCTAACGCTCGAAGTGGAGTCGAAAGAGATGAGTTTTCAGTTTGCGCCGGAAGATGTGCAAGCTATCTGCCGTCCTGATGTCAATGGGGAGCTCATTCCACCATCTTGGAGCCAGGATAGCAAACCCACGTGTTTTCGCCGATGGGAACTTGGGTCCCCCTCGCAGCGAGGGCGCAACGAGTCGTTTGGCTGATGCAGAGCGTAGTGCACGCGCTGGGGTGTACGGTTTAACCATGTCCTGGATGTAGGAAGGGCCAGATCCATTCGCAGCACGGTAAGCAAGTACCAGTGTCTTGAAGTGGATTCTAGCAGTTACCGGAAGCCAGTGAAGGGAGCGGAGGAGCGGAGTGGTGTGGGAGAATTTAGGAAGGTTGAAAACCAGACGAGCCGCTGCATTCTGGATGAGCTGCAGAGGTCGGATGGCACATGCAGGTAGACCAGCCAGGAGGGAGTTGCAGTAGTCTAGGCGTGAGATGACGAGAGCCTGGACCAGAACCTGAGTCGCTTTCTGAGTCAGCTGGGGACGTATCTTCCTGATGTTGTAAAGCGTGTATCTGCAGCAGCGGGTTGTAGCAGCGATGTTTGCAGTGAAGGACAGGTTGTTATCTAGGGTCACACCCAGATTCCTTGCAGTCTGAGTCGGGGAAACAACTGAGGTGCCGATGTTGATTGTCAGGTCAAGAGTTGGACAATCTTTTCCCGGGAGGAAGAGCAGCTCAGTCTTGTCAAGGTTGAGCTTGAGGTGGTGAGCAGACATCCACTGAGAGATGTCAGCTAGACAAGCAGAGATGCGTGCGACGACCTGGGTCTCTGAGCGGGGAAAGGACAGAATTAATTGGGTGTCGTCAGCGTAGCAGTGGTAAGAAAAACCATGCGGGCTAATGACTGATCCGAGCGAGTTTGTGTACAAGGAGAAGAGGAGGGGACCAAGAACAGAGCCCTGAGGGACCCCCGTAGTTAATTGACAAGGGTCGGACTCAGACCCTCTCCAAGTCACCCTGTAGGTACGGTCTTTCAGGTATGAGGTGAGGAGGGAAAGTGCAGAGCCTGAAACTCCAAGTTTTTGGAGAGTGCGAAGGAGGATCTGATGATTCACCGTGTCGAATGCAGCAGACAGGTCCAACAGGATGATGACAGAGGAGAGGGATGCAGTTTTGGCAGTGTGCAGTTCCTCCGTGACAGCAATGAGAGCAGTTTCTGTGGAGTGACCTGCCTTGAAACCAGACTGGTGCGGATCCAGAAGGTTGTTCTGATTGAGATAACAGGAGAGTTGTTTAAAGACAGCGCGTTCAAGTGATTTAGACAGGAACGGGAGGAGAGAGACAGGCCTGTAGTTTATAACATCAGACGGGTTGAGAGTGGGTTTCTTTAGGAGAGGGTTTACTCTTGCCTCCTTGAGACTGTTTGGAAAGTGACCAGAAGTTAGAGAAGTGTTGATGAAATGGGTGAGAAACGGTAGAATATCAGGAGCGATAGTCTGAAGGAGGTTTGAAGGGATAGGGTCCAGAGGACAGGTGGTAGGGCGGGCAGAGGTAATGAGGGTAAGAACCTCACTTGGAGAGAGAGGGGAAAAGGAGGTTAGTGTGTTGGTGGAAGGAAGGTCTGGTGACCCAGCGGTGAGTAAAGGTGAGTCAGAAAAAGAAGAGCGAATATCATTAACCTTTTTTTCAAAGTGGGTAACAAAGTCGCTTGACAGAAGTGAGGAGGGGGGAGGAGCTTTTGGAGGGTCCAAGAGGGTGGAGAAGATGGAAAATAGTTTTTTAGGATTGGAATAGGAAGATTGGATCTTATCTTGAAAGAAAGTGCTTTTTGCCTGAGAGATCGAAGCAGAGAAAGAGGAGAGGAGAGCTTGATAGGTTAGGAGGTCGTCACGGTGTTTGGATTTCCACCATTTCCGCTCTGCTGCCCTAAGGACGGTTCTATTAGCACGCAGTGCATCATTTAGCCAGGGAGCCGGAGGGGACTGACGAGCCTGCCGAGATGTCAGTGCCAAACAAGTAGCAACAGCTAGCAACAAGATAACAACAAAACACAAGGTTGAAATAACAGATTACATTTCACGTACGCTGGCAAACAATACAAAACCAACAGTTTCTGCTGAAGAGCTCAATTGATGAAAACAAAAAGAGAGAATCTTACCTGAGAAACCAAGTTGAGTTTCAATCTCTCGCCAGAGTCCGGATTTCACTACTCGGTTCGAGTACTTTTTCTCTGTAATGTCGTACAGAGCTGGCCTCTCCTGGATCAAGGTGATGAGCAGGTCTTCGTTTCCTTCATTCCAGATCGCCATGATGACAAATAAACCGATGAGATGAAAATGTATAGCCGTCTGTGTGTGTGCCTTCTTAAATCGTTTGTTTACGTCCCTCACTTCCGTTTCGCTTCTCATGCACTGATTCGCTAGCTGAACAGCCAATCAGAGTGATTTCTTTGGCCGACTGCCTGTGGCCGACGCATGCGTCAGCCAAGGCGTGTCACGGCCGACGGTGCAGGACCTTTATATATACAGTATGTGCGGGACACACCAAATTGAATTTGGGTGACAGGGCACGCTTCGTCGTCCGACACACCAGGCCGATTTCGGCTGTTTTCGTAAGTCGGGAGACGAAGCGTGTCCTGTCGCCCAAACTCAATTTGGTGTGTCCCGCACCGTCGACCGTGACACGCCTTATTTGGACTGCCTGTCCCGATGCATGCCATGCATCGGGTCTGGCAGTCGGACCAAACAATCACTTTGATTGGCTGTTCAGCTAGCGAATCAGTGCATGAGAAGCGAAACGGAAGTGAGGGACGTAAACAAACGATTTAAGAAGGCACACACAGACTGATATTCATTTTCATCTCATCATGGCGATCTGGAATGACGGAAACGAAGACCTGCTCATCACATTGATCCAGGAGAGGCCAGCTCTGTACGACATCACAGAGAACAGGTACTCGAACCGAGTAGTGAAAACCGGACTCTGGCGAGAGATTGAAACGCAACTTGGATTCTCGGGTAAGATTATATTTTTCATCAATTGAGCTCTTTAGCAGATATTGTTGGCTTTTTATTGTTTGCCAGCGTACAGTGACGTTAACGTGAAATGTAATTTGTTATTTCAACCTTGTGTTTTGTTGTTATCTTGTTGCTAGCTGTGCAGTTTGGCACTGCATATAGAAATGAATTGGACATGCTAACTAGCCACAATGGTTACATCGTTTATTTGTGTGCTTCAGAGAAAGAGCTGAGGAAGAAGTGGGATTCTCTGCGAACCCAGTACACCCGGTACAGGAGACTTGCCCCTTCGGGTAGTTGTGGAGCACCAAAGACGGGCAGACAGCAGTGGATCATAACCACGCTGCAGTTTGCACACGCTATTTGTTGTTGTTTATATCACGCAGTCTGTTCTTCTTCTCTGTCTTCCGGTTGTTGCCTATTTTTAATGACGAATACACACTACCGCCGCCTGCTGGTAAGGAGAGTTATTGCCACTCACGCACTGAAGTCTTTGCGGTGTGTTCCCGTGCGACACATGGCCAAGACGCAGGAGAACACCGCGACGCAACAGCCGACGTCGGCGAGTCCTCTGGTGACTGCTTGGTGTGTCAGGGCCTTAACGAAAACGGCCGATTTCGGCTTGGTGTTTCAGGGTTATATATAGCCTATGGTCAGGGCCTTAAAACGGCAGCTTTCCACTGGACTAATTATGCTACCAATTATTAAAACACAATTTTTCTCTAGCAATTTATTGTTAACTTGACACTACATCACGTCTGTCATGTGAAGCTTGATCTTAACTCATTATGTCTAAGTCTGAAAACAAACATGGCAACACTAGAGTCAGTGATTTACAATTGGAAGGCAGCAGATTCAATTCAATCAATAACGGGTTATGTTTCTTATTTTATTTTCTATTTTACATTTACTTTATTCTTCACCCTTCACTCACCCTGTTTGTTAATGAATGCCCACAGTTGGAGCATATATCTAATTGCGTTTGTTCTCCTCTCTCCTTCTAAATGTTGTCTTTTACAAATAAAAGCAATATTCACCCAATTAGTGCTAAGATTGCAGGGACAAGAGAAAATAAACGGGAATGAAAGGTGTGAGTGTCATTTGCGGTGGATTTATCCCACCCTCATACATCTGTCATGAAATATCATGCATCACCACTTTTAAATCTATTTCTCTTCACTCCCCTTTTCTGTCATCATTTAGGATGTGAAAATGTGTTCATGTCAGCATGCATAGTGTTATCAACCATTTTAGAAATGCAGCTACACAGCAGCTCAGTTACAGTGAAAATACAATTTCCAGATTAAATTAACTATTGTCACATTGTGTGAGATAAGCCTTTTTAATGTTTGTTTCAATCTTCATCATCTATTTCAGCAGGAAATGCAAACTGGAATTAGCCTAACTTAAATCTCAATGGATTCAGAGAGTAAGCAATTCAGGAAAATAGTGGAAAACACTAGAAGAGCAGAGTATAATAACCAGCTGAGAATCTAGCAGAGATATGTCAGGAGGGAGAGATATGAGGAAGCCTTTTGAGTAGTAGAGAGCTTGTGGAAACACAAAGATGTGAGTGAAGAAAGGACTTTCGCATGCTAGCCCCCTCCCCCTACTCTCACGATGCTGCAGATGCATGATTCTCCTGCACACCTTGTTTTCATATACCCTCAAGGCTGTTGCAAACACAGGATCTCTGACCATAATAAATTATTTAACCAAGATGAAAAGCATCATATTTTAACATTGGTTGTTTTTTCTTTTCTCCTGGCATAGGCCTGTATGTGTTGGAGTAGAGGTCTCGTGTTACTTCTCAACCCAGGCTTACCTCCACCTTCTTGCTTCAGCAAAATCAGAAGTTGTGAGTGGGAGGTGTAAGTCCTTGTATCAGAGAGACATGGTAAAACATTTGGAATGGCTTCTGTCCAGGTCCTTTGATAACTACAGTTTTTTTTATATTATTTGCTTTTTCTGCAATATGCCCTTTTTATTTTTTTACCTGATTTGCTACTATTTGCTTTCCGGTTTTCTCTATTTATTCTCATTTCACATAGGCCCATCACCAAATATCTGTACAAAGTATAATTTGTGAAACATGTATTTGTCGTTACTGCTCATTTTATGTCAGCAAATTCTCACTCACAAAAGAGAATTACAAAAATATCTATGTGGATTATATTACTGTCATCCAGGGGCACAACAACCAATGATGGCAGCCACAGTAACCTACGTATCTAGGTCAGTCTCTTCAAGTAGTTCATTATTGCACTATATTTTATTTTAGTAGGCCTAAGTAGGGCTACTAAAGAATACCATTGAGTGGTTTGTGTGTTACTATATCAGTGAGACGGTCGACAAGACATGCAATTGTACAGCTAATGTGCAACTACCAATTTCAAACAAAGCAAATAGCAGTTTATTGATCACAAGGATTTATGAGAATGCTTGACCAGAAGCTGAACTGTTGTCCTGTTTGAAAGTGAGAATAAGCAGATGATCAAATTATTTCCTCTTGGTTAGGCTGTGGAGATGAAGCTGCTCAATTGAAAACCTTTGGCACCATTAACATCTCAAATGGTTGACATTGAATAAAACGTTACATTCATTATGATTCATACGCCTGTACATTATTTTCTTTTTACATTTTGCCGGGTAGCACTCGGAATAGTACGGAGCCCCCTAGGGGACATGGAGAACGTTATGTTCATGAGTTATTGATCCGCGTAATTCGAATCTGTCAATAACTCAGCTCAGAGTATGCTTTGCGACGTGCATGTCCCCTCGCTCGGAGTGTTCTCTTGAGGTGTCCTTCACTTATGTGAAACCCGTGCCTATTGCCAAGCACTGATGTTATATCTTTATATTTAAGGCCAAGCTCAAAGTAAAATCGATGAACCGCTCCATTGTTGTGGTTTCTGTGTTGCCGAACTGACCGTATTGAGCTAAATGAAAAGTTTTGCGATATCTCGCAAAACATTTTCTTTTTTTTAAAAATACATTTTTTTCTTCTTCTCCATGTTCTGTAGGGCTCCGTACAATTCCAGGTTACCAAAAACAGTACTGAAATATATAATAATATCTATAACATTTTAGTCCAGAATGTATGCATGTAGAAAGTGATAGACCATGTTTTCTCACTGATTGGATGGGCAGTGAACCGAGCAGTTAGGGAAATGATCCCCCAAAGTGGCTCTAAAATGTACATTCATTTGCTGCCTAGTGCCTATACTGTAAACAAATACACACTGTGACACATTTCGATTTCACTAAATGTGCATGAGGCAGAAAACAGCACTCTTGACTACTTCTACAATAATCGCTTGCACTTTCACTCTAATCGTTGGCCTGTACTATCCTTTTTGATATTTTTAAGATGTATAGTGTCCCTCTCATTAGCAACATATTTCTAAATGCACAGACATATCACCTGGACTCAAAAGAAAACACACCACAGATACAATAAAATTATGCAGAATAAAAAAAAATACAAGAAAGAAACATGTGAATTTTAGATGACATCTGAAACCATAATTCTAATAGCCTCATTGTTATGGGCCAGGCTACTTCTTACACACAACAATGCACAACAACACACATTGAGATGAGTCAGACACATGGGTCAGATGACCCTTCCCCTCATGGCTGAATCACCAATGACGTAGTCTGCAAGAGTGGCTTCATATCAGACTTGTGACTAGACCCTGGCACCGCATCGTCTTAGTGAATGTCTCTCTCCCTGTATCCATTTTAGGTAAGATGCAGGCTGCTAAATGGTGACACAAGAAATGCTCTGCTGAAATACTGTTGATATATCCTACCTTTTTCTTTTTTTTTATATCTTCATTTGAAGAATTATCTGCTTTTAATTTACTCTACACACAGACAGGTGATGCATTAGCTCTTGTGATTTAATCTAAAGCGGAAGTACAAGAGTAACGGCCCGTCCACACTACAGCTTCGACAGCTTCAAAAACGGTTTCCAACGCGTCTGCCCATTCACTTTGAATGGGGTGACGTCACTTTTCGCCGAACTGCATTGTGGGAAGCAGAGCGGAGCTTTCCTGGCGTTTCAGGCTGCAAAAGTTGAGCAATGTTCAACTTTTGAAGCTTCTGAAGCTTTCGGTGGAAGCGTCAGCCAATCAAATCATATGCCAGTACAAGCTCTAGCCAATCAAACCGCTGCTTGGGTGTCAGGGGCGGGAGATTCATGTGATTGGTTGTTGGTCGAGCTTCAGACACGCCCAGCTCCAAGCTTTTTTTGAAGCTGTAGTGTGGACGGGCCGTAAGCAAACGGACTGTAATAAAACTCTTAAGCTAAAGTCCCTTTCACACATGCGCTGCAACCCTGAAATGATCTATACCATACCCAGAGGAGCTGTATGTGAGAACACAAAAGCCAGATTGCTTGAATCACACATTACATACTTTAACCTGCCAGCTCCCAGGAGCAAACCCTGTGTGTTGTCTGCTTTGAGTTCATGTGTTAATAGAGCTGCTCGTTGTACCATTCACGGACAGTGAGTCGGCGCGTTGATGACGTTTCTATGGTGGCTGGCTTGAAATTGGAGAAACTGGAAATACAATGAGATTCAGGGAGTTCTGTGTGCAAGGACTGATGCAGGAAGTTTCTGTCAAATTACGACAAATGACGAACCATCCATGTGAACGAGGTGTAATCGGTCTGTTATTTGTCTGGCCTCCTGCAGGCTCTACCCAAGATAATGGACTCCATTTAGTGACAATGTTTCTGATATGGACAATATCCTGTTGAGTGTGTGAAAGGGAAACTCCTGACACTGTGCAGCCTTTGTATGAGAAAAAGGATAAAGTCTCTAATTTTGTCACCTCTCAGGTTTATACATAAATGTGGAATGATTAGAAAATGTGTCTTTCATTTGCTATCAGAGGGGCTCTTTCAAGCTGTTCCTAAGAGACACTTCTTGTTATCCTGGATATCTCTGTCACTCTTCCCTCTCCCCATCTTGCTTCCTGTAGGCCTCGTTGAGCAGCTGTATCTCCTCATGATACCCAGAGCTCTCCTGTGTTTGCCGCCGGCTGTTCTGCCGATGAGCCTCTACAGTGTCAGGTATGTTGATATTGATGGTTTCTGCCTCCAGGTTGCCACTGCTGGGGATGAGCAGAGAGTAGGAAGCCGTCTCCCCAAGGTCGCAGGAGACAAAGCGGTTTTCCCTTCGTGAGTAGCGCAGTGATGGCGAGCGGGTGTGGGTGGAGGACTGGCTGATGTTGGAGATGATGGAGACACTGTCCATGGCCTCCTCGTTGTCACAGATCTCTAGCACCTCAAGGTGGATCTTCACGTTGGTGTCCCCCACACCAGATCCGATGCCCATCCCCAGTCCAATCCCCACGCCCATCCCTACACTGCTGACATTCACGTCTCCAGCCTTGCCTCCTGATGATGACTCGTCTGCACTGGGCTCGTGGCCAACTGATTTGGAGCGATACACCTCCACCTTTGAAGCAGATTTATAATCCAAGTTATTTATAAAAAGTATGGGGTCACAATGCAATTCATTCTTTATCTTACATATCTGCCCAAGTTGTCAATGGGACATTAACAAAACCTATGTGAACTAGTAGGTACAATAGAAGACAATTGTTAAAGGAATAGTTTGACATTTTGGGAATTACACTTGAGACGGCTGTATGTCTGACTCTGCAAAATAAATCAAATGATTGAGTCAGATATACACAACTTCTGTACTTGCACTGACATAAGAATGATATCAATCCTTTTATCTGACATACAGCAAGAAAGCAATACGCATATTTCATTATCATTTATATTAATAAGTACGGTCCATTTTGATGGTTATTACCTTCTTGGCATTGTTGGGGGAGATTTTGAGTCCGTCACTGCAGACTTCATAGGTGGAAAGAGAGAGGGTCTTCCCAGTTGGGGCTTGCAGAGATACGGTGCCCTGAAAGGCGCACAGGGGTATTGACAGACCACCTGATGACCGCTGCATAAAAACAAAACGAAAACGCAAGAAAAAGTTCAGTGAATATCCAGCGCAACATCTTTATTTATGTATTAACTTGGTCCCATTAGTCGAGAATAATATTATGCATTTTACAAAATTCCATATGGCTGCTTATCATGTAATTGAGAAGAAAAACAAAGAAAAATGTTTCTTTTGTTCAAACTAATTGAGCTTAGACCGTGTCCTTGATGTCAATGGCAGGGAGATCTATGTGTCGACCAACCATTTCAATCAAAAAGTTAAATATGGTTAGCCTTGTCATTGCTGCTTGGTAGAATAAAGATTTGTTAGGCGCACAGCAGAAAGCTGTATACAATTCATGAGCCATTTAGCCATTGTCAGAAATGTTATTCTTACTAATTGAATTTTAATAACATTTCAGTGTATTAAACATTAATCAAATTTCCTCTGGGTTTCTCACTCTCATTTCAAATCACATTTCAGATTTTCCAGTCATATTTATTTCATGGAGATTATTTCACTCCACAGTAAATTTATGTGAGCCTCTGTCACATGATCATTTGAACAAATTAATTTTTCTGGTAGGGGGAAGAAGTATGCTGCCACAGTGGGGTGACTGGCAGGTCTCATTAAGCCCTCTAAATTATTTAGATGAGTTCAATGTAATGATCTGATTGTGATTATGACGCACAGCAGGAACAAAGAGAATGTCAATCTCTTGTCCTCCCTGACTCTGTCTGTTTTCCTGTCATTGTGCAAAGAGAGAGACATGGAGGGAGAGAGAGACTACCATGCTAAGATGAAAACACATTGTCAAGTAAAAATCAATAATTCTGTGTGTGTGTGTGTGTATATATATATATATATATATATATATAAAATGTAGGCCTACATGTTTTTATTACATGCAATGTTGCTATTCTCTCATTTTCAAATGTTATTTCTAAGTGTAATTTTAATATATGTATAACCTGCATGAAATCTAGGCAAATATTTACATTATGCATATTTTGCAGCTGGCACTTCTTCCTGGCAGGATTATAACTTTTGAATTGATTGTCATGCAATTTACATTCATAAAGGTCTGCAGAAAATGAATGACCTTTTTATGACCTATTAGCTCATTCCAGTATAATGATATGACTACAAATTTGGCCCAGACATTCATGTTCCTCTCAGAAAGAATTCCACCAACTAATAGGCAAACCCAACACAACAGATATGATAAATATAGTAAACATACCTGCAAAACATATGCGTGATAGCATTGTGATTGTGAACATCTTAGCAGGCTACAGTTTAGCATTCAGTTCAAATCACTGCTTTTTCTGAGTAAATTGTCACAGAACTGCATACCCACTTTATATAAGCAACATAAGTGATGTTCAATATTTGTTAATGATGGCTGCAGATCATTTTATTGATTAGTGTTGTGCTATCTTTCCAATCCATTCCGATTCAATAGTTGTTCTCATTATCCACCTTGTAACCTATTGGAGAGAACAACACTTATTTACAGATCAGGATGTGTTCACAAAGTAAACGGGTTTCAGTTCCCTGTATGATTGCACATTATATCTTGTTTTTGTCTGGGAGTGGGCTTTTGAGTGCGCCCTAAGCCCTTTGTTTTCAAGTAGAGAGCATAAAGTCACTGAGAGGGTAAATATGTCTTTGAGCTTTAATTCCACCTCTCCCTGAGGACACTGAAGGCCAAAGGGGCTGGCAGTAAGGAGAACAGACGCTGGGTAATGACATCTATCCTGCTAACGAGGAACAAAACCTTGTCAGGAAGTGCTTTCAAATCACAAACTTTGTCTTTCGTGACTGTGTTTGGGAAGGGGGTGGTTGCTAGATTTGGGCAGCTTTTAGTTATTTATTGTATTTGCTGTTTGTCTGTATACTGTACTTGTATATAAGGACCCAATCAATGAACACAGCCTAAGGGAGCACAATATACATAGTTTTGCTGGAGAAGAAAAATGTAGATGAGAAGTAGGCCACACACACACATTTCCCGACCTCTAGTGATTTCAAACCCGAAACATTTTCAGACTTGTAAGTAAAAAAGAGACGGAGAGGAAGAGAGACATAAGTCAGAGCATGTGCTCGTGGCTTGCATATATTCTTAGCTTTGGTGAAAAGTCAAGGGAACCCTGTGAATAAATCCATGCCAATGTTTCTCTCAGCAAAATGTATCCTAACTTTGTAGCATTAATAGCCTCCTAAACCTGCTAAAGCCTCTTAAAGAAAATAAAGTCAGCCGGGGGAACTGGCAAAACTGCAGGTCTTAAAGGGTAAATAAAGGCTATATTGAACAATTGTATTAAGTCCAGCAACTCAAGGACAGAAATAAACATCTGGAATCACAGAAATTGATAAAAAATGGATTAGTGGAGAGATGTTTTGTGCCAGTAGAAAACTGTCTTGAGCTGTGGATGGTTTACATTTAGCGGTGTTTGACTTCTACTTCATTGTGCATCTTTTGAGAGACTAAGTAAATAATACCTGTATGAGCGCAATGTTACTTAACATGCAACTCTGCTCTATAGATATATGGATATACAGCATGTGTTGCATTCCTGTTTTAGTTTTTCTTTTTCATATGATTTCATGCCACATTACAGCTTTGCACAAAACCATTCACAAACACACATAAGGGGAGCTAACCTTGAGTGGATACATCTCATTAAAACTGATTTTGAAACTGTAAACACTGCCTACAAAAAGAGAGAAAACCCACAAGAGTAAGTTAATGAACTGAACTAAGCCTTGAGAGTTGTTCTGATTTTAGAGTGGGATAGCAATGAATGTATATTGTTTTGAATGACAGGCTGGCATTTGTTACTGAAGTGGTATGCTGTTGATAGTATTTTGATCAATTGGTCTATTAGTCAGAATCCATTGATGCTTAGCACAAACAAGATCTGCTGAGAGAGAAGAGAGGCTAAGGGAGAGAGGATTTTTACAATGTTATCTAAATCACATGGCCACCTCCCAGTCTGTCAGCTTGATTATAAAGAGGCATATTCACAGATGCGGAAAAAAAACAACCTCACTGAGCAACAGACAATAACAATAAGTCAGACAGATAAAAATGCACTCTCTTCTCTAAAGCCTCGTCATGTAAAAAATGCATCCTATAGCCTTGTGTCTGTTTCTCTGTACTTAGCAAAGCAGCAAGACTGCATTATAAACTAAATGTAAACACAGAAAGTGAGATTGAATCCAACCATTTTATGGTACTTAGATGCTAATCACTCCTAAACAATATTCTCCAGAGAGCATGCTTATGTTGACTGCTAATGCAGCTGTTGTTTAACTAGTTTAGGGAAACACTCAAGAGTGAGGTTGTAAAAGCAATTATTGGCATCCATAAACCACGGAATGACAGATGCAAATTACTTAATTGAATGGTTCAACATCAGGTTAATAAACTGAAGACTCTCGACAGAGGAGTACCTGTCTTGGTGTTCTCTCTGATTTACTCCTGCACCACTCCCAGTCTGTCAGCTCGATTTTCCGACACTCCTCATGGGACAGCCTCCTCTCTGGGCCCTCGAACACAAATGACGTATCGGTGAGATTGTGATCCTGCTCCTTGTGATGCGAAGAGACGCAGCGGTCGCCTTCATCTCCGTGGTGTTCACGAGGAAGTGAAAGACAATCAGTCAGCGCCGCTCCTCCACTGGCCACTGCTTCCAATGGAAGGTCTGCTTGAGAGAAACTGTCCACAGGGAATGTGGTGCTGAAATCAAAATCAGGCCCTAGGCTGAGGAGCCCGCCGCTTTCTAGTGTCTCAAGGCGGCTATTGGGGAAGTCACAGTTAAAGAAGCTGTGAAGGTCAGGCTTCCCAAGAGGTGGACTGTTATGAGGCATAGTGGCATGTGACAACTTGTAGACTCCATAGCCTTGTTGGATGGAAAGGTTGAACTCAAATCTTCTTTTCATCACTGTGAAAAGGTAATTAAGGATAATTGTGTTATAACTTTACTTCCCTCTCCTTTAAAGGGTAGCAACATGGGGAACTAAGGGTTTATTATGTAGAAATACACTTGGTTTTGTTTACCTGAGGGTTCCTGCGTTGGATCCTGTTTGCAGTTAATGAAGCAGCCGCATGGCATGTGGATCCAGCGCTCAGACAGCACGAATAATGGAGTGACCGCAGGGGCAAGCAGAGTAAGAAAGAAGCTCAGCGTCTCCAGGGATGAGCTGCGTGCATTTACTGCGTGGCGCACAAGCACCAACGTCTGTGAATGAAGGGAAATAGAAGATAAATGCACTGAGCAGTCCGTGATTCAATATGCATGAGGAAATATTGGGAGAGGCACGTGGATGGAAATGAGGCCCAAATTGTGCTTTTTTTGTTTTTCATTTTCTGGAGAGGCACATATTGAACTATGACTGTTCTAAATTGAAAATAAACAGGAAAATATATTATATATCTGTATTACAAACACAAGCAATACAAAAAGATACCACTAGACAAATCATCTTTGGAAAGGCGTGTGTGTTTCTTGGAAAACCAAACAAACTAATTTACAATTAAAATGTCCACCACATCATATCATCAAATCTTTGGCTTAGCTCATTTTTCAGTGTTGCAAGTTTGGCTTGCCAATTCGGTTTGCCCATCATTGTCTGCTGGCTGCACTGCAGATGTTGTTACATCAAATTAACGTTTTGATTGAGCAAGAACAAATGCTCTTATAAGGTATTTCAAAATGCAACCCAATGAATGCTGCCCTTTCGGTGTTGACTAAAACATGGCAAATCATTTTACTCAAGGCCTGTAATGGAAGTTAATTTAATAGGACATCGTCTTGTGTTCTTTAAATGTCACGGTTTAACATTTCTTATGAGACCACAAACTAGGATGTCCAAATGCTTTCAAAACTGTAAATGCATGTAATTAATACTGTGGTTTAGTGTTGCTTCAAGAGACATCCAGGGTTTTGCAATGGGTCTCCATCAAAAAGGGATAGCTTAAAATGTTTTTTTACACACTAATTTAGAATAATTTGAATTTATCACGCTACTTACCATCATTGGCATCCATAAAATAACTCGGACAACCGCAAGGATCATGGAGAAGCGTTTTTGTGCAAACACCACTGGTGTATCCCCGATAGCAGCTGTCCTCTGCCCGCTGACTGACACTGGGGACAAACCACTGTCTTCTTTCTCCATGATCTTCGTCCCGCATGAACTCGGGCTCAGCTCGTTGTAGGCCCCGAAACTTTTGTTTAGGCTGTCCCGGGAAAAAGCAGGAAGGTCACAGAGGGGGGCAGAGCCACTCAGTCCCCTCGCCATCTCTGAATAGCTGGGGTACAGTAAAGTCCTCTGGGGCTCCCTAGAGCACAGCAGCTGATAGGTGAGGGGGGTAAAGAAAAATAACATGCCGCAGAAACACATGGAATATAAAGAGAACAACATCAGGGTGTAAAAACTGTCGCTCTCTGGGAAACACCCGAGAGGGGCAGGCGTAAAGCTTCCCCATCCGCACAAAGGTAACACACTGACGGCGAGGCTCACTGCCCACACACCGGCAATGGCCCACATCATTCTTAGTGGCCGGCGGACAGATTGGAGTACTCCAAATCTCTTGGTGACATAAAAAGTGTAAGCTACTATTAGGCATGCCTTCATATTGCTTGAAACACCCTGGAACACGTACAGAAGTCCAGATAAAGTACACAGGCTGCCCGACCATCCACCTCCATCTCTCTCCCACTGCAGGAGCATGAACAAGGACAGAGGGACCACACTGAGGAGATCGTCCACTGACATAGAAGCCACGATAAGACACAAGGAGCTTTTTCTCCTCAACCGGAGGAGTGAGAGCAGCGAATACACACCTCCGACAAGGGTAGCAGCAGCGATGATTACGCACAAGCCGAAAAGCAGAAGGCGAATTTGCCTCTCCATCTCCGAGGGGTCTGTCTTCTCGTAGGTAGCCGTCGATAGGTAGCTCTGGTTGGGCGCTTGAGAGCTAAGGTACGTCGTTGACATTTTTAGTGAATTAACTTGTCTCTTTCTTTTGGCACTTTTAACAAGTTACATTTGACTCATATGCCGTAAAGTTTACCGCGCTGACAGGATGGCACAACATGAGCTGCATCTCAAAACCAAAAATCAGGGTGGAGAAGATAGAGTGAGAAATATTGGACCATATCCCTCTCCGATCCAACTGTACGAGTTACAGCTCTCCGGTGCCTTGGATGTGTAGCCTACGGGTGCTGGCAGGCACTTGTGTTCACCGTTCAAACCGAGCAACCAGGGCACCTCTCGCTTCCAGCTGCCGATCTACGCGCTGTAGTCATCATCGCTTCCTCTCACGGTTCTCATTTGGGTTGGGCCAAACGCTGCCTATACCTCTGTGGGATTGGTCCGACGCATGCATCAGTCTGTTTTCATTTAACACGACCCTCTCCTTTGGTCATGCCAAATACTACACCCTCCCAACCCTCCTTCTCCCACTGCCCCCTCCCCCTCTCTATCTCTTTGAGTGAGGGACAATCTAATTCAAATGAGATAAAAAAAATAACCTTTACAGGATTTCCCCTTCCACAGCAGATTTGTGTTTAGGGGACCATCACTTTGTGGCTAATTTAATTTGGACCTGACCATCTACACAGACAGGATGGTCTGTTAGCCACAGCGGTTGGCTTTCATTGTTCCATTTTCCAAATATTATCTTCGGCTTAACGGAGTCAGGGAATTAAATGCCAGGGCTAAAATAATAAGAAAAATGTGATTCCGATTGAGTTGACCATGTAGGTTGGATGCTTTCTTAGCCAGACGGAAAACAGAGTACGGCCAGTATAAACACATGTGTGACTGTTTGTATTTATTCCTGTTTATACAACTGTCAGACAGCAAAAGGCCAACGATCAATTTATAAGCAACATATTATTGCCTGACTCATATAAATGGACATAGGAATAAATATACAACTCGTTGTCGCCATAGGCGTGTTAATTAATTAAACGTTTAAGTTGTATAACATACAGATTTAAGGGACAACCTTGGAACATTCACATTGCTACGAAACATTATTTCAAAATCAAATTAAACAGTTGGTGATTCCTTGGATAGACGTTGGCAGAATACTTGCAGGTGAAGCTTTTGGGTATGTGTGTCCATGTCCTTATGCATGTGCACAAGCTATACCCTGGTTTTTTGGCCTTGTCCCATCCTTCCTGTAGTGTTCAAGGATTTTCACGTTGAAGGACTCCTCAGTTTGTTTACATGGTTCAGGGAGTTTATTTATCCTCAAGGGGGTACATTGACTGAGATAATACTCCTTGTGTTGTGCTCTGTTTATCACTAGTGATAGATTTTTTTACTTGTGCTCTTTATGGAAATGTGAACATGGAACAGTGACTTACAGCCCATCTAACGATTATGAGAAAGGAAAACAAAACACAATCCACAAGGGTACATAAACATAAACACACACACACACATATACTGTATACCCCAGCTTGGCTCAGCGTCACACCTCAAGGTGACCTCCTTATTGTGTGTGTTTGTTTATACTGTATGCAATACTGTGCATGCCTCACAGGGTGAAACACATGATGCTGGAAAATATAGAAGCTAATGTAGTGTCAAAACACATCCTACCCTCTATTCATGCAGGAATGCTGAAAATATAAATAGATGAAGAGGTAGAAAGGAACAAACCAATAGCAGGAAAAAAATATCAACCGAGAATATGAAAATGTGAAGTTTTTCTTACAGTCCTGACTTATGTGTTAAGTGGAATTATAAATGTGCACTGTTGAAACAAAACAATACATCCTACTTGCATTATGGAAGATTGATGGGCTCATTTAACTATAAGATGCACACAGATTTCAACATTTTATAATCGGTGCAGCAGAACTGTTATACAAATTCATAGATAAAATGATTACCTAAAGTATGCATTTGATTTGTTATAGCCCATTTTCCATATGGATAGTCTTGGCTGTATGGTTCATTCAAAAATCATGATAATAGTCCTCAGTCATCAACAGCAGAAACAAATAATAATAAGATAACAAAATACAATTATAAATCTTAAGATTGACCCACATCCAGATGTTTCTGTCTGCTGTATTTGATGCTCTGATGATAAACAGAGTCTCTCCTGCTCCAACCGGTTTGGAAAACACATTGATAATTGCTTTCTGAATGTGGAATGCTTTGTAGAGAATTATGGTAAGAAATGTCATGAAATTATATATATTTTTAAACCTGACATTTTCATTACAGCATCTACTTTTATTGCTGCACCCACTTCATTAAACATTTAACAGGATCCTCATAAAGTCAAACTAAATTATATTAAAACTAATGAAGTGCGATTTGGATTTGAGAACTAGCATCTCCCCACATCTAATAAATCATTCATCCGTAATATTAGCTTGGAAATGATATTGAAACCATGAGAAGGCTATGTAAAACCTCATTTTCCCACCACCTCAGTTCTTCTGCAACATGAAATGGAAGCAGCTTATCAATAATAGATGACTCGGATATGTTGAATGAGTACCTTTTATGTGCATGAATTATGTACCGTGTTATACATGTGCTCATATATCTGTTGGCACAAATCACGGTCACAGTCATAACTGTAGCCTGCTGGCCTCTGGTGGTGCATCCAACATTCAACAGCACGGATTGTAACTGTAATTGCTGCTGGATGATTATCTTCCCCTCCCTCCCTTCAAACATCAAACATGAATGTACTGCCCCAACACAAACAAACAAAAGTGCATCATGTCCCACTTTACATCAAATATGAATGAACAGAGACTGAAACAAAATGGAAGATTATATTATTTTCATAAAAAGAGAGAAGTCAAACTGAATGAGGACAGTAGGAAGAATAGTTAGTGCCATGCATTAAAAATAAATCGACACATCCCTCTCTCCCGAGTTGCTCTTTGGGGTGCAGCGTCGTACAGACAGTGGGGTGATATAAGGGCTACTTCTAAATGAATTGACTTTTACAACCAACTATGTAGTTGGGAAAAAATAAGCATGTAGCTAAATAAATGACTGTGATATGAGAAAGGTATCTCTGATGCTAAATTTGAAGATTATTCCTCTGGGTCTGCTGGATGTGAAATGTATGAACTGTTTGCTAATGTACCGGCCAACACCTTAAAGTTCACCTATTATGCAAAATCCACTTTTTCATGTCTTTTATAAATAAATATGTGTCCCCTCTGTGTTAAGAGATTTGGAAAGTTTCAGGGTAAAATATTCTCTCCATTTGTCCTGAACCATTTATATAAAAACCTGTCTGAAAATGAGCTGATCAAATTTGGCCACTTTGTGATGTCCCAACTTTTTTTTGGATTGTGCAACCATTAGCCACTAACCAATCAAGGTAATCCGTCCAAATCTCCTCCTAGAGCACCATTGTATTTTAAATCACAGGGGGGCATGGCGAGTAGCTCATTAGCATTTAGAGCTACAGACACAGAATCAGCACTTTTGGAACAGGGCTGAAACATGCTTAATGGCATGCTACAATGCATGATCTGTTGGGTATTCCTATAGCCGAACACTCCACAGACATGTTTCGTACATATCTGAGACCTATAATATACAGACAGTTTGTGTAGATATGATCTGCCCCCTGGTGGCTTTAAGTTGCAGTTTTGTCTGCATCTGCATCTTAACCTAATCAGCCAGCAGGGCATCCAATGTATACAGTACTGTATATATATATAAAAGCATGTATTGCCCTGCTCTGCCTGGGTTGGACTTTAAATAAAGGTACTCTGGTACGTTCTGCTATCCGCATTTGGGGCCACCCTGCTCAGTTTTTCTGTGACAACCTTTGAGCATATTTTCCATTATTGTTGACTTGTTTATTGCTTATTGGGAGCAGAAAAGTTAAGAAAACAATGCAGCTAGCGTTCAAGAATTTATAATTTTTTGTTTGTGTGTGCTGTTCAATCAATCAATCAATCAATGTTTATTGATATAGCCCAATATCACAAATGTTACATTTGTCTCAGTGGTCTTCACAGTGTGTACAGAATATCAGTATGACAATACGACACCCTCTGTCCTTAGACCCTCACATCGTACAAGGAAAAACTTCCAGAGAAAACCCACAGATTAAAGTGGAAAATGGGAGAAACCTCAGGGAGAGCAACAGAGGGAGGGATCGGACGGACAGACGTGCAATAGATTGAAAAGATAATACATTTGCAACATAGGTAGTCCAAATGTTTGGAAATGCATGTGTGTATAATAGGAAGATGAATCCACAAGGATATCCATCCAGGACCTATGATCCAGGAACAGAGCCACGACTCAAGATCCAGGGCTCGCGATGCAGGACACAGGACCGCAGGATCATCCATGACTCCGGATCCCAGCGTATATAGACACCAAAAAGAAAGACATTTGGGGAAGCTGGGTTAATCGGAACATGAGAGTACACAGGTATAGACAGAGAGAAGGAAGAAGTAAGATGTCCCCCGACAAACTAAGCCTATATCAGCAAAACTAGGGGCTGAATCTAATCAGCCCTAACTATAAGCTTTATCAAAAAGGAAGGTCTTAAGCGCACTCTTAAAAACGGATAGGGTGTCTGCCGCCCGAACACAAGCTGGAAGCTGATTCCACAAATGTGGAGCTTGATAAGAAAAGGCTCTGGCTCCCATTGTACTTTTAGAGACTCTAGGAACAACCAACAACCCTGCATTCTTGGAACGCAATTCCCTAGTAGGACAGTAGGGTATAATGAGTTCTTTAAGGTAAGATGGCACCTGCCCATTAAGGGCTTTGTAGGCGAGAAGAATAATTTTAAATGATATCCTGTGTTCTATAGGGAGCCAGTGTAAGGCAGCCAGAACAGGAGTAATGTGGTCCCTTTTCCTAACTCTGGTTAGTACACGAGCTGCAGCATTTTGAGTCAGCTGAAGCGACTTGACTGACTTCTTGGTACACCCTGATAATAAGGAGTTACAATAATCCAGCCTTGAAGTAACAAATGCATGGACTAGTTTCTCTGCATCGTTTTGAGGCAAGATATGCCTGATTTTTGCAATGTTACGTAGATGGAAGTAGGCGCCGGCGGTCCTTGAAATTGATTTTATGTGGGCGTTAAAGGATAAATCCTGATCAAATATATCAATCAATCAATCAATCAATCAATCAATGTTTATTTATATAGCCCAATATCACAAATGTTACATTTGTCTCAGTGGACTTTACAGTTTGTACAAAATATCAGTATGACAATACGACACCCTCTGTCCTTAGACCCTCACATCGTACAAGGAAAAACTTCCGAAGAAAACCCACAGTTTAAAGGGAAAAATGGGAGAAACCTCAGGGAGAGCAACAGAGGAGGGATCCCTCTCCCAG